GGCCTTATAAGCAGAAACCGGTCGTAACGAATAAATAAACAGAGTAGAAACTAGACAAAAGTATTTTCTTTATTCTATATTCACCATGAATTTCTACAAAATAATTAAGTCATCAATCGAACGAGTAGGATTTCTGACTGGCCACTGTCAACTAAGGAAACACCTCCACAATATAGGGCTAGTGAACACACCTCTATGCAGGATGTGCGAACAGGAAGATGAAACTGTCAGGCATGTCCTAATCGAGTGTCCGGAGTTATCGTCAATAAGAGAGTGTGTTCGGCGAGTCTTGGCCTACACCTGCTGATATAAAGGAGATGTATCCCAGTGACCTGTACCTTCCTGGAAAGGACAGGATGGACGATGACCTAGAAGGACAACTCCTCGGGGGGGATGTACAATGGGTCACATGTGGCCTAAGTGCTGTGGACCTATACTCACCCTCTCAATTCTACAGATACAGATAGGTAATACTAACAGGTAGTAGTTAGGTTACTAGAATTTAAAAACACTAACATAGTAGTAAAATTTAGTCATAACGATCTCATAAGGACGCTAACCTTGACACGGTCGAGGGACCGTAATTTTTGTTCTGGTGTTGGGAAAGTGTTTTCAATAGATTCATTTCAAGCCAGAGGTTCCAGTGAGAACTATCAAGAATAAGTAATAAAGTATCAAATGATTTTGAAATGACATTCTGGCGAATCATTTTCATATTTTTCTTGGAAATTCAAGGATTTGAGAATCTTTCCTGATATAGAAACTGTTTTTGTTTGGCACATGCAGTATAAAAACTTTTCAACGAATTATTTTGATGTTGTCCAATCTCTCTTGAGTATGTACACAAAACCAGACTTTTCTATGGTTTTGAGAACTTACAAAAATGTAATAGAGAGTAATCGATATTTGACAGTCCCATAATCAGCTTCAGATCAGTTTGGATCCCTCATAGACTAAAAAAATCCCAATCAATAATCGTGTCAATTAGTAGAAACAACTGCTTGAAAAATGAAATGGGGGTGCTTAAAATACATAATAAGTAGCACGAAACAGGTGACGAATCGTGTATCTATGCTTAGCCGTAAAGTAACTACAGTCTTCATTTGTCCGGAAAGAACTTCCTTTTGTTTCCAAACCTCAAAAATGAATTACGTGGGTAAACATTTTTGTAGGCAGAAATATTTTGAATATTTACTTGAAAAGGGAACATTTTAGGAGATATTAGTTTTTGGGGCAAAACGTTTCGGCTCTCTACTTTTCAATCTTCAAATAAAAAAAAGGGTTATGCTTATCACGTAATTTTATTTGAAGAATGAAAGAATGAAATGAATTGAATTTAGAATAGATAATTTGCAAGAATTGGAAAAAATTGGAACAGAAAGTTACGAACAACGTAATATGTGAAAGAGTATTGATATAAAATTTCACTCACACGGAACGCTATCATTCTTAATGGTGTGAGTATTCAACTCATCCTTAGCACCTTTTCGATTATTTCAAGAGAAAAACATGCATTTCTTGAACAAGATTAGGACTTTATGTCATCGAAAGATGACATAAAGTCTAATTTCTCCTGAAAGTGTTCTATTTTCATTTCAAAGGGAATTCCTACGTCTAAAAAACCGTGAATATTTCCATTTTTAAAATAATTTAAAAAAAGTTTACTCAATCATCCATCAAATCCTGATGTCAATTATTTAAAATAAATGTGTGACTCAAGATAAACAAAGGTTTTGCATTATCCATCATTAATAAGCGGAAGCGAGCAGTGAAAATAGATTGGTGACATACATGAGACGTGTTAGGTGAAAATACAGATAAATAAATCACACCACAGAAGACGATCGTAAAAAAACCGCATTGATAATCCTATGACGATATTCGATTTTGTATGCAGGAGTGTTTGTATATAAATTAAAACCTATGACACATCAATGAAATCACGGGATTCCTTTCAGACGATCGCATTTCGTTATTTACTTAGTTCCCACAAGTAATAATTGATGTGGTTAGCGGTTCTAGTAACGACTAATAAATACATGCAAGTAATTATTTTGTTCAAACAAACTTTCACATATGATTTGATGGATTATTAAATTCTACAGAAAAGTTTACGGTTAGTTGTGGAAACTTTGAATTTGGTAGCTTACTGATTTTTACTGGTGTCAACTATTTAGATAACTGGTTCTTTGAGATAGATCGAAGCACACCTTTTATTTTCTAAGTCAACTTCTGAGATCACAAAGGATCATAAACACTTTTATAAACTTTCTAATTTTTCTACTGTTGATGTGGAGAGTCCTTTTATAAAAACTATTTTCTATTTTGAAGTTATTTTAGAGGAAATTCCGCAAGTCGTGGACTAATTTATGTGATTCGAAAGTGTCATCTTGATGAAATTGTTACATTTTCCAATGAGTTCATGCTGATATTGGAATCGTCTCACACCAATAATAAATATTTGTTTGCTTTGTTTAGAAATATTTGTAAAAGTATGAGCCATGGACAAAAAACAAATTACCTTTTTATGGTTCCTTTGAGAATAAATTTAAAAAATGTTTTGATTAAGTCAGAGAAAATTACTATTAGAGTTCAGAGAAATTATGAAACTTTTCTTTATAACACAACAAATTATATAAATAAATTGATGGATGTAGCCGTTTCTATGTGGTAGGAGATCCTAATCAAGAAAAGATAATTGAAACTTTACATGTTTTTACCACATTTATTTGTAACTAACGTTACTGCAGTTTCGTCCTATAAGGATATTTTCAACTTATACAATAAACTTTGTTGTACATTAAACTTTGTCTAATGTATAAGTGGTAAAAACATAGAAAGTTTCAATTCTCTTTTCTAAATTGAATAACTGTAGAATAAAATAACAAAATATCTGTTTTAACAGGATCTACAGAATATTCGGAAAAACAAACACATCATACGAGAACGAAGACAACACCCTTTAAAAATAAGAGCGAAATTATTTTCCTTATGATGTAGACTTGTGCCCTCTAGCGATAGAATTCCACTGTTGATGCAGTTTCCAATTCCAAACTTCAAAACAGCGGGCGACATCTAGTATTGACCGGTCGCACTCAAAGCTCAATAAAGAGAAAACTGTAATTCACACACAGGAAACGAACTAGCGCGACGTCAACGCTTGTCCTATGAAAGAAACCTGTAATGAATGGCTTTATACGAGGGATATTCTACGATGAGGAAACACAATGGAAAAGTTGACAACTAGGTAGCTTCTAAACAGTTTCACAGGCAAATGTACTAGATGGGTTCAAGTGACTAAAACAGAAATAAATGCTTGTGGCTAGCGCTCTCACCATCGATATACAACATGAGTTTGTCTGGTTTGCCTGTAGTAAATTTTTTTCACATCTTTGAGCTTATATGAAAAGTCAAAATGGTGAGAATGAGAATTTCCGGCCTTTATTAATAGCTGATCCCACTGTTACTATCTTGGAAACGGTAAGACCTACAAGGTCGGTTAAATTAAACAAAAGTTTCCTATTTTGGGAACTAGAATAATCTTTTTTCAGATTGAGAATATCAGTGCTTGTTCTTGAAATAATCGCCAAAAACTAGAGTAGTCGAATTTCGTTTTTTGAATATATCGCCTCCATTTTAAATATAAAAACAGAGAAACTTTCAAAACAATTTCATATATGTTATAATCAGAAATGAATCAATTTCCAATGAAACGTTTCGTTAGTTAGATTTCATCATCAACTTTATTTTATTTTTAACGCGGACCTGTACATAGCTACAGACATTGCTGAATTTGTTATTAGAGTGGCTACCAAAATCGATGAAAGAAACCAGAGGTCCGTATTAAAGAAATAAAATTGATGCTGGTATCTAATGAACGAAACGTCGCATTGTAAATTGATTTTTTATCAGATTACTTATAAATATGAAACGGTATTATATCAATCTAAATGGAGGCGGTGGAGCCATAAAATGAAATTCGATAATTCTAGGTGTTGGAAATATTTCAGAAACAAGCACTGATATTCTCAATTTGAAAAGAGATTATTCTAGTTTCGCAAAATAGGAAACTTTTGTTCAATTTAACCGACCGTGTACGTCGTACCGTTTCCGAGACATCAATAGTGGGATCAGTCTAAAAAAACTGTCTGTATATAATATAAGAGCAAATATACATAAAATAGATCTTTTGTAATGAACTGTAAAATATTTTTCAGAGATATTTCGAACTGATATTTTGGCTAGAGATTGTGAACACAGAGTGCAAAGCCTCTAAGTATTAACGGCAAGTAGGTACACCTATCCAGACCAGTACTTACAATATTTATTGAAATATTTAGGGTCATTTATATCTCAGAATATCTCATCATATTCCAGAAACAGGCATCATCACTGAGTTGTGTTAACTGTACTGATATTTCTAAAAAAAAATAAATTTCTATGAAATTTTTAGTTTGCGATGTTTGCACTTGTAAAAGTCATTCAAAATCCAAAATAATATGTAGGTACAAAAAATGGCAGCAATATATATCGAATATGTATCTGCGCTTTCGTTTGCCAATGGCCACAGCCCAAAAACAAAGCATTTATGATCCAACACAAAATTAGTTTTGAGAACCTTCTTCAGTATTTGTGGATTAAGTCTTTTATTGATCCCATATATAGCGTCATAGACTTTTCTTGATCGAACATAATTCACTTTCATCAATTCGGTATATCAATGAATTTGACAAAATGCGACATAATTTATCAAATCTACAAACTTTTCCTTGCTTACAAAAATGTTCATTATTATTTAGATACACAAATGTTTACTTCAAATTAGTGGAATCGTAACTCTTGGCTGAACTTATGACATTTGAGTAAACAGCTTGGTTTCACAGCAAGAAAAAAAGTTACATGCATCCAAAACCGAATCTGAAATCCATGCACTAGTTTATTCACAAGTGAAAATCACGTTTGAAAATAAAACACAACACCCATTCTCCAGAAAAACTTACCCTGGAGTTTGTAGCACCATTTGACTTTGCGACTGTTCACTTCATAAACCACTTTTCCGTGCTCAACAGTCTTACCTGAAACAAATTTCAATTTTTTACTCCTTGTCCTTTGAAAGATATTTAACAAACATTATCTAATTCAAAAAATGAATTCAATTCAATAGTCTTTCTTTTATAAGTGATCAAAATGTTGTCCATTTACTAACTGACAATACCCTAAACGTAACTGAAACTCGTTTTGAACACTTCTGATTACTTCGCCGGGAATTACCCTACACTCCTGTCTTATTCGTTCTTTTAAATCCTCAATATTTGACGGTTTGGTCTTAAAAACTTTGCTTTCCAAGTAGCCCCATAAGAAAAAGTCCAAAGGCGTTAAATCCGGAGATCTTTTATCTAGTGTACACGGTTGATTGTAGTATTGTTGACTGAGTAACCATACATTAAAGTTCGCTTCTTTGTTGTGAATGATATTACTTTACATTTGGATACGTTCAGTTGTAGACGATTATCATTGCACCAAAGTGTGATTACATCTAATTCATGTTGTAGTTGGCAGTCAGTAATGTCGATTTTATAATATATTTTCAGGTCGTCTGGAAATAGTAGGCTAGGAATATTCAAAGAGATTGCCAAATCATTAATAAAATAGAAAAATAAAAGGGGTCCAAGATTAGAACCTTGTGGTACCACATATCAACTACGTTCTGAGCCGATTTGAAAGATTCATACTCGACGAATAGTTTTCTGTTAACTAGATATGATTCAATTAGAGTAAGCAGTTGGTTAGAGTCCCAATTTTGTCAATTTGCTGAGAAGATCATAATGGTCTATTTGATCGAAGGCTTTTTGAAAGTCTAAATAAACAACATCGACTTGTTTTTGCTTGTCCAGGTACGTACAGAGATATTGATTTAAACATACAAGATTTGTCATACATGATTTTTGCTGTACGAAACCATGCTGAGCAGATACACATACGCTCATGAGAAGGCACAATTATTATTGGTATTGGCGAGGTCTATATTTTTCACAGTTCACAGTTATTTTTTCCTCTCAACAGTTTCATTTTTAATTTTTTTTTGTTTGGTTGTTCCGGTGCTATTATGACTTTTCTGTCAAGCAAATCTCAACATTAAATTGGACCAGTTAACTCACTTTCACACGTCCCCTGGTCAATTTACTCGCGCCCCGTCGTCTCGATGGTTCGAAAAAGTTACAAAAAATTCTGACATGCTTCCTCGGGGTATAATCACCTGGTACTCACTACTTACGAGACTAATAGCCGTTATAGAACCCTAGAGCAAGGTCCCACAATCACTGAAATTAAATTAAATTGCCTTGGATTAGACATCGAATGGGAATAAAATTTGTTTGAAATTCGAAGCGGCGTGTTGTGGGTCTCCTCAAGTTATGTAAATAATATTTATTCTCATAGTCGTAACAAGGGGTTCTTTACGCTGATTGAACGGGTACTCGCGATACAACAAAAAGGCACTTTTATTTATTCATTTAGAAACAAACATGTATAGTCCTTATTACAAAATACTCATTCAAAACTAGTCAGTCACGACAAATTCATTTAATTTCTGATCGACTGCAATTTTTTCTTCAAGAAGAAATGTCTAACCCACAGAATAATTTTATTAAGAGTACTTGACTACTTCATCCGCTTAAACAAGGAAAGTATTTTCTGAAGAATGTTAGTTTTTTCCAGAAGTTATCTCTTGAAAACGGCGTTTACAATTTATTATTCCATTTCACTGTTATTTTTGTTACGATTGAATATACGGGGTCTGTTAAAAAAATAAGGCGAATGTTCTAATTTCGGGGGCTACATACATTTGATTATCTTTTTTTTTTGTTTGTACACTCGTCTCGAACATATGTTCACAATTTCAACTATTTGACATATTTACTTTGTTGTTGAGAGGCGTATAAGCAAGAAGTAATTTACGTTCGCCCTGGATGCCCAGCAAATGATGAAAATGTTGAGAAAGTAAAGAACATTATTATGGAGAGTCTTCGAATCACTATAAGAGAAGTTGCTGACGATCGGTTAGCTCAGCCATGCAATTTTTCCAAAAATTTTGTGCATAAAGAGAGTGGCAGCGAAGTTCGTCCCAAAGTTGCTGAAATTTTGCCAAAAAAAACCTCGAATGGGCATCGCAGGAATTGTTGAATGACGTCAATGACGATTCAGATTTGCTTGAAAGAATCATAACTGGTGACGTCCAATCGTCCCAATAGAAGATCCCGAAAGAGCCAAGGCCAAAAATGAGCAGGAGTTCTTGCCACATAGTCGTACGGTCAAGGATTATTAACTTGAAGCTATGCACCGCTTGCGAGAAGCAATACGAAGAAAAAGTTCTGAATTGTGAAAAAACATAGCATTGCCTTCGCATAACGATAATGCACCTGCTCACTCGTCATTTTTTTTTCCAAAAACAACACCGTTATCATGTCTCAGCCACCGTATTCACTAGATTTGGCCCCCTGCGACTTTTTCCTTTTTCTAAGATTGAAGAGACACATGACAGGACGGCGTTTTGCGACGATTAAGAAGATAAAATTTGAAGATGACAACAAAATAGAAATTTGATCCATTTGGAAAAACGTTCTCAGGAAATTTATTCCACATAAACGCACTTCTCGAGATGAAAGAGTTCTTAAACAGTGAAGTTCGAGCTGTACTGAGTTCAACCTAAAAACGATGAGCAGCCACAGTCTATCGCGTATATCTGATATGTACCGCTCTTAGTGGAATAAAATGTGCCAAGTAACTTGAACACATCCCGTGAAAGTATCTATAAAAGAGGGAAATCTCCAACCTTTCTTCGATGTTCCAGGCTGTCAAGGTTTCAAGTGATGTTCGCGTCTCCAATCAGGCGGAAGGCTCTTTTCTGGATGGAATCCGGCAACTTCAGGGTATATATGGGAGCAGAGCTCCATACATGAGAACAATACTCCTAAGAAGGTTTGATCTGAGCTTTATAAAGCATCAAAAGTTGCTGAGGTGTGTACAATTTTCTGGTTCGGAACATTGTTCCAAGCTTTTGAGAAGCAGACTTTGTAGCAGGGTAGCCCACGATGCAAAATGGGGATTTACTCGAGCGTCACCGAGACATATTAGGTTGCAAAGCTTAGATGATAAGAAGAAAAAAATGTTATATAATATATACCTTTTCATCGGTGGGGGAAGCGGATATAGATTTTTAAATATGCAAAAAAATACTGTTGATAGAACATTAATATTCAAAAAATCATGGAATATTCCACTCCTTCATTTAAATAGCAACATAAACCTTCAAACCCTCAATAGATATGGTCAAATAGGTAAGTATACTTTTCTAAATGCCGTACGACACTGTTCACTGTATTTTTATTATAACTTTTAATACATCATTAATGTGGTAATTTATAGTTTTTTATCTCTAGGCATTTAAATATAAAAGATGGGATGAAATTAGTTGAGAAAAATTGATACAGAAGATAAGGTTGCTTTCTTCGATCATTTCGATTTCTGGTGTTCCTAGTATCAGGTTATAATTAGCATACGATGCGGGCACTGTCCTAACAGGTGTAATTACTCATTTTTAGTATTCAATACTAACAACTTCTACTAATTTTATGTATGTCAAAAAATTTTTTTATACAAGGAGAATCAGAATTAAAAGTTTCGCAAATCTAAATAGTTTATTACATGACTTGTAAGTCTGAAAATGGCTCGGCATAACAATTAACCTGAAAAGTTCATAGGCTAACATAGAAAAAAAAATGTTTACGCCTTCGGAGGCGATTCAACGATTATAGCGGTCATACAAATTTTCAATGGCACTCGTTACCAGGCCTCAGTTTAGAAAAGAACCTCTTCATCGGCGCTGAATTACTTTTCGGCGAGCATTCATTTGAGGTCTGAGAATATAAAAAAGTCGCTTGGACCAGTTCTGAAAAATACAGTGGATGCGGAAGCAATTAGAAGCCCTATTAATGTAATTTTGGCATCGTTTTTATTAATTAGTGACACGGTGCATTGTCTTGATGATTTTGTCCTTCAAACCGTCCTTTTCAAGATAATCGATGAATATTATACCATGCTTATCCCAAAATACTAATACCATAATTTTGTCAGCTGACTGTTGCGTCTTTCAACACGTGCATTTCACGCAGATGACGATCGTTTTGATTCTGGTGTGAAATGTTGGAGCCATGTTTCATCCATTGTCACATATCGACGCATAGATTTGGGTTTTCATGGGTGGAACAGCTTAAACACTACTTAGAATCATCAATTCGTTTTTGTTTTTGGTTGATTGTGCATATCCAAATATTCAGGCACAATATATCCAACTCGTACCTTTGATATCTCTAGTCTAGAGTCTCAGCTATCTCAATCAGTTTCATTTTGCGGTCATCCAAAATTATTTTATGGACTTTTTTGATGTTTTAGTCGGTAACCAGCCTCTTTGGGACGTCCACTATGTGTATTGTCCTTGGTGCTCGTTTCACCTCGTTTAAACTGAGCAAACCACTTCTCAACGGTTGATATTCCTGGTGCAAAGTCAGAATGATGTTTATCAAGCCAAGCCTAGCATTCAACAGTAATTTTTTTCAACAAAATGCATTGCTTTATTAGCACACGAAATTTTTTTTATCCATTTTATTAAAACTAACAAATGTTGGGTAAATTAAAATGTTCTATCCCACAAATTGATACTCCGACAGCTGGGAAATTTGTAAACTTGCCTTTTGAAGGTTAGGGTTAAATAAAAATCATATGAAGTCAATACTAGTAGCACCATCTGTGTGTTAGCCTAGGAAGTTTTCAGCCCAACAAATACAAATTTCTCTTGCTTCTATTTTGTTTACAAAATCCATCGAAACCAATAAAAAGATAAAATGAGTTATGTTCAAGGTACAGTTACGTTATATTCAGAAAGCTGTCATTATTCGAAATGAACAATTCTGAACAAAATACACGCATATTAGAAAGTATTGCGGCATTTGTATCACCAACAGCATATGCAGGAATAACTTCAGTGAAGAATCCTGCACTGACATCTATCGGATACAAT